CACTAGGAAGAAGGCATGTTGGAAAAAGGAGTTTCAGAGGGAATGGGAAGAAGATAAAAGAAGGGAATGAGATGAATATAATGAAAATACATTATATACATGTATGAAATCATCAAAAATAAACTTTAAAACAAAATTTATTTATTTATTTTACATACCAACCACAGTTTCCCTTCCCTCCTCTCCTCCCATTCCCTCCCCCTACCTGCCTTCTACCCCACTTCCATCCACTCCTCCTCCAACTCCATTCAGAAGGAGTAAAGCCTCCATGGGAGTAAACAAAGCATGGTAAAAGTTGAGGCAGGACCAAGCCCCTCCCCCTTGTATCAAGGCGGGGCAGGGCATCCCAGTAGGTTCCAAAGAACCAGCTCATGCATCAGGTACAGATCCTGGTCCCACTGCTAGAGGCCCTACAAAAGACGAACCTACACAATTGTCACCCAGATGCAGAGGTCCTAGGTCAGTCCTATGCTGGCTCCCTAACTGTTGGTCCAGAGTCCATGAGCTCCCACAAGCTCAGATCAGCTATCTCTGTGGGTTTTCCCATCATGATGTTGACACTCTATCCCCTCCCCCATTCATATAACCCCTCCTCCCTCTCTTTGACTGGACTTCTGGAGCTTAGCCCAATGCTTAGCTGTGGATCTCTGCATCTGCTTCCATCAGTTAATAGATGAAGGCTCTATGGTGACATTTAGGATAGTCACCAGTATGCTTACAGGGTGAAGACCAGTTTAGGCACTGTCTCTCCTATTGTGAGGAGTCTTAACGGGGGTCATCCTTGTGGGTTCCTGGGATTTTCCCTGGCACCAAGTTTCTCCCTAACCTCATAATTGACCTCTCTATCAAGGTATCTCTTTCATTACTCTCCCGCTCTGTCCTACCCCCAACTCGACCCTCCTGATTCCTCGTGTTCCCCTCCCCCATCCTCTCCCCTCTTCCCCCACCCACAGTTTACCCAGGACATCTCATCTATTTCTTCTTCACAGGGCAATCGGTGCATTCCTCTTAGAGTCCTTCTTGTTACTTAGCTTCTCTTTGACTAAGGATTGTAGCCTGGTTGTCCTTTGCTTTGTATCTAATATCCACTTATGAGTGAGTACATACTGTGTTTGTCTTTCTGGGTCTGAGTTACCTCACTCAGGATGATTTTTCCTAGTTCCATCCATTTGCCTACAAATCTCATGATGTCTCACTGTTTTTAACAGATGAGTAATATGCCATTGTGTGAATGTACTACATTTTCTTTAGCCGTTCTTGGTTGAGGGGCATCTGAGACTTTAAACACAGCACTTTTTTATTTCCCATTTGTCACTAAATCCTTGACATCATTCAGGACTTGTAATGTTAACATCTCCTCTAAGAAGCCTCATTTATTAGCAATCTATATTAGGTGCTTCCTCTTTGCCCCCAGACAATCTTAGGCTCCTTTTTAACGAAGCATGTATTTATCTGTAATGAAATTATAAAACCAAAAGCCCCTCAGGATAGTAGACTGGGCTCATTTAGTGTACAAGCAAATAGGCCTACACTTATTCTGCAAGTAAAAAGTAAAACTAAATTCTATCCATGATAGCCCAAGTTCTATTACTCAAAGTTATAAAAAAAATCAAAAACAAAAGCTTGTTTTATCCCAAGATTATTGGTAGTCTTTCTGGTTTGAGGGTTTGTTTGAGTTTCTATTTTGTTTGTTTGGGTTTCCAGACCAGGTTTTATTAAGTAACATAGCCTGACTTTGGTTCATTATCTTCTGCCTCAGCTTCCAGCATGCTGGGATTACAAATATTGGCTACCACACCAGGTGTGTTTGAGATTTTATTTTAAATCCTAATTTGATTTTATATTACTAGTGTTGTATTAGCTTATTTATATGGTTGTTTAAGTGACATTTCTGTGGGCCTGACCAGATTTATGCCGATTCTACAGGAAACTACATTTTATATTCCAGTCTAGTGACTCCAAAATACTAATCATTTGAAACATGTGAAACTTCTGATATTCAATTGTGTGTGTGTGTGTATATTCTGTGGGTGCATGTGTGTGTATAGATGCATGTGTGAATGTGTGCATGTGGAAGCTCCCCAGTATTGAAATTACAAGTGCAGACTACTGCATTTAGCTATTTTATGTGTGGCCTGAAGATTGAATTTAGGTCCTCATGGTTTCCTGACCAACTGAGCTATCTCCCAAACCCCAATTATTTTGCATACAAAAATGTGTGTGTTAACTTTTTTATTTTTTGACAATTTCTTACATATATACAATGTACTATAATCATATTCTCTGATGTAGGAGTCCTTTCTGTATGCTGTGAATATGTTTTATTGCCATTGGTTAATAAAGAAGCTGCTTTGGCCTATGGCAGGACAGAGTATAGGTAGACAAGGAGACTAAAATGAAAGCAGGGAAAAAGAAGGCAAAGTTAGGCAGTTAGTTGCCATGTAGCTGCTGAAGGAGAAAGATACCAGAACCTTACTGGTAAACTACAAGCCTCATGGAAAAATATAAAGTGATAGAAATGGGTTAATTTAAGATGTAAGAGCTTGCTAGGACTATGCCTAAGCCATTGACCAAACTGTGCTGTAATTAATATAGTTTCTGTGTGATTATTCGGGTCTGGGTGGCCAGGAAACAAAAGTACAGTCTCTGTTTACAGTTCTCTTTCTGTTATCCTCTCTTATTCCCACTCCTGATGACTCCATTCTTCCTCCGAGCTGGTCCCCCTCCAACTTTCATGTCTACTTTGTGATACACTGAGTTTAATTGGGCTGGATTTACTGGACTATGGCAACTTACCAGAGGCTATACTACTGAAGAAAAAAAACTCTCCTTCTCCCAACAGCCATTAACTGCCAATAGTTCCTCAGGGAGGGTGCTGGAATCTCATGAGCCTCTCCCCATACATAATGGAATATTGAAGGACCCAATCTTGTGTTGATTACCACAGCTACTATATGTTCATATATATATAATGGGCATGTCATATACAGAAGGCAATATTTCACAACACTCTTCCCCATCTTCTAGCTAAGATGTTGCCTGGACCTTGGAGAGAGTAATGTAGAGTCCTGTTTAGGAATAAGCACTCAACAGTCACTTTTATCTACATTTTAGCCAGTTATGAGTCACTGCACTAACTTCTACCTACTGAACCAAACCTTCTCTAAAGACTGAGAGTCTATAGATATCAGTAATACTTAGAAGGCAATTTAGGTGCATGTTCATTTAGCAAATCAAGATAGTAAGCTTCCCCCTAGGACCTGTGACTTCCCCAACCATGGGCTTTTGACCGGGTTTCAACTACCAGGCATGCATTTCCTCCTGTGGGGTAGGCCTCAAATCCAATCAAAAAGCTATTGGTTGCCGTCAACTATTGCACCAGTGGACATATCTTATCTTAATGGTCAGTTTTTTATGTGTAGGGTGACAAAGACCATTGATGATAATTTTTCTTCCTAAACAGCCTGCATAGCAACTTCCAGTACTATAAATGTTAGGCAGCAGGGAGGATGCTTCTAACCCATTTTCAGATTGATTCTGTGTGTCCCCTAACCTAAGTGTGTGCTGTATTCAGCAATAGGGTCTTAACCATCTAGTTCTAGAAGGTAACCAAGAGCAATGGCAACAGCCTATATTGTTTTAGGAGAGTCTGGGGGCTTTCTGGAAAATGACTATTTCAAGTGGATCATCCTAAATGTTTTTAAATGTGATATGATTAATAATCTATAGATTACACATATTCATTTATTGTTTGATAGTTAATCAGTGAATGTATCCTCCTAGATGTCTGTGCCTTAACACAAACAATAAATCATAGGTATTTGAAGAAAGTTTGTGTAGACTGTTAGGGTTTTCTTGGGTCCAACCCAGTTTTTTAACTAGAAATTCACCAGACATGAGGACACTGGGATTATTATTTTTTCCAAATGACAATAGAATGTTTCAAAATAATGTACTTAAAATAGCAATATCTAACACTTATTGAGTGTGTATTACATGAAATGGTTACTGTGATGATCCTACAACTGCTTTATGAGTAAAGTGCTATTATCATCCCTGTTTTCAAATGAGGAAATTAAAACTAAAGAAACTTGTTCAAGGTTACATGGATAGCAAGTAATAGCATTGAGTTTAGAATCACTCAAGTCTAAAACTCTGTCCATTGTTTACCTTAGGCACATCTTTTCACCTCAAGGATATACTTAAGCTATGATTATTGTTAGTGAAAGCAGATCCATTCACATAAAAAACATATTATATTGCCATAAGCAATTGTTATAAGACATTAGAGGACCAAATATTAGAATGAGGACCTTTTAATGCAAGACTTACTTTTTTCAGATACATTACTGTATAAAATCTTAGTAACTGAGTGATAACTAGTTTAGGTTTCCTTTTAAAACTAACAGAATAGGAAAAATAGTCTACTGTTGTTTTTCATTGAACTGAGTCTTATAGAGCACATGTTCTGATGGGGGTTGGGAAAGGCAGTGAACTAGTGTGCACTTTATCATGACTTAACTCCTAGAAGAGAGTTGACATACATGACACCTCACAGTTGGGTTCTCCCCACTCTAGAAACAAATTAAAAGCAGAGCAAAAGTAAGAAATATGGCAAAATCCGATGTATATGATAATAAAGTCCAAGGGGTAATAGAAAATCCAAGGCTAGTTCTGGATAGCCATCAGCAATGTAGGAGGAGTATTAGAAGTTTGTGGACAGATGTAACCTAAGGGATTTCTCATAGCTATTCAGAGTGAATAGAGAGGCTTTGGCGATTAACAAGTTTCATGCCTACATGATTAGAATAATAATGATTCCATGATTGGAAAAGTGGGAGTAATGATTCCATTCATTGGAAAAGTGGAAGGAAAGATGAGCTCAGATTTTAGATATATTGAATTTAAGGTAAAGAAGGACTATCTGTTGAAAGACAGCTAGTTGGTTTCTTATGTTGGCTATAGCTAACATAAGACATATCTACTTATTAATTTTACAGATGGCCCTCCTGAATTTCTTCTTTCCTGATGAAAAGGCATATTCTGAAGAGGAAAGTAGGCGTGTTCGCCGCAATAAAAGAAGCAAAAGTGGTGAAGGAGCAGATGGTGAGTCTACTCAAGTGATCCTTTATCACTCTGACTTTTGAAATGTTAATAAAAACACTCTTTAGTGCTCTTGTGTTATCCAAAGATCACTGATTTCTCCAGCCTACCCTGCTGAGCAGTCCTTTGCCATAGAACTAACAATGGAAGGATCCTCTAACCCCAGATACCCCCAGTCCCTTTTCAGTATGCTTGGAGGACCATGGTAGCTGAGGACCATGGTAGCATTTATGTCCCTTAAGGGCACTCTCCCTAAAGACTTCCTCTCTCCTGAGGACATAACATATTTGCCATGTCCACGAAGATAATTTAATCCTATTTTTGGAACTGATAGTATTTTGTCAGTCTATCATTTATATGGTACATTATTTCCAATGATAATTATAACAATTTTGGTATCTGTTACTATGTCCAAATATAAACTAAAGCATGTATCATTACTCTGTAAGTTCCTTGAGGACAAGGATCCAGTTCTTTTTATATGACTTTAGAATTTGGTATAATATTTGCCTCACTGTGTTGTAATAGAACTCGACAGTGTTTACTATCCCTTCAGCTAGGCAGTGATTTACCCGTGAAAACCATTGCCATTGTGGGTGTAATAGCTTTGAGTTAACTAGTAGTATATTCAGTTGGATGACAAAATGTTGAGGTAGCTCCTGGGCAAGGTCTTTGAATCGCTGTATTTCAATGTTACTCTGTCAGTTGACAGAACACTACCCCTTTGGCCAGAGGTTTATAGGAAACATAGCTCTGGGCTGTAGAAAAGCCATCTGGATTCAAAGACAGTGTGTCTGGCTACATCTGCTGATGATATGTGTCTATAGCGGGTTACAAAGCAATATGATTTTATAAAGATGAAAATGAGATTTTTAAGCTGACATTTGTCAATGTAAGTAGGGACCAATGATTGAAGCAGTTCCAAAAAGTGGAATCAATTGAAGATACGGGGCTAGTACTGCCTTAGAGTTAAGGATAAAGCGTACCTGGAGATCATAGAATTGTCTACGATATTTAACCTTTCACCTAAGAGGCTATAAAACCATTTCTTTTGATGTGATGAGTGTCTCATTTGGTTAAAAGGTGACAAGCCAATCCAAGTCTCCTTTTGAAAGCCATTCTTGTTATTCTGCCAACTATGTACTGTGTTTTTCCAACACATCCTTCAAATATTTACTGAGTAAATACAGCCAATTTATATCACACTAGGCTAGAAGCGGTAAGAATATCTGTGTTTGTTTGGTTAATGTCTATATTCTTACTGCTTAGAAAAGAACTTGGTACATGACAGACCTCAATGAATATTTCTTGTTCCCCAGGGGGCTTTACTTCGATAGCACAGATAAACAGAAAACAAAGTTTGTGTTGATAAGTGCTGTGAGGAAACCTACAGCAATGAGACAGGGAGACTGGTAATAATAGGGTATACTATAAGGTGATCAAGGGCGGGCTCTGTGATAAGGGAGCAGTTGAGAAGGACCTGAGGGAAATGAAGGTAAGCCAAGTAGATTTCTGAGGGGAAAAAGCAGCCAGAATCAAAACAAAACAAACCTCCCCTGAAACAGAGAATGCATGGTGTGTTTCAGGAAGATCAGCAGGACTGGGAGGAGAGTAAGAGAAATAAAGGCAATGAGGGCAGGCAGTAAAAGTCACTCTACAGACTTGAGAGCCTGGGGAGCCAGGGTCTTTACTGGCTTCTTGGTCCTAGTTTCTTATTCCTCATGCAGTGGGGGGATATTGAATGAGTCCGAAGAGGAATGACAAGATTTGACTTGCATTTTAACAGAATCCTTCTGACTTCTCTATTGAAAATGATTTAGAAAGAGTAGGAAAAGGGAGACCCAAAGGGGACAATATCCAGGCAAGAGATGATAGTGGCTTAGAATAGCGTGGAAGCAGAATAGTTGGTAGGAAATGGTATGATTCTAGAAGGATTTTGAAGAAATGGCTAATCAGATTTTGAGATTTATCAAAGAATATGAAAGACGGAGAAGAGCTGAGAATGACCTCGAGAGTTTGGGATATAAAGAACGAAATGAGTAGAATTTGCTATTTCTGAGGTGGAGAAGAAAGGGGAGGAGATATATAGAGGTGTGGGGAGTGAGTTCAGGATTTAGAAGTTAGACTAGCGGGAGAAGAGGGGATGGGTAGAAGAGGGAGAGTACCAGTGATGAATGCAGCCAAAGTACATGGCATACTTAAAGAAATTGTCTTTCTGAAACTAGTCACAATGTACAATGAATATATATTAATATTTTTAATTAAAAAGACCAAAACATAAAAGAATTTATTTAGGCCTGTTAAATTTGGGTTGCCTGTTTAGCCTGCCAAACAGATATAATTCAACATCACTATCTCAAGATAATGAGCTGACTGTTTTATACAAATAAAGAAAAAAAAGTGAGTCTATCAGCAATTAATATTAAATCCATAGTTATTTGATATGTTATAGTACAAATTAAGATACCTATCTCGTTTCCCTCACAAGTGTCAAAGAAAAGTGATTTGCCTTAAGTAGTTAAGAAATTATTTCAGAAGGAAAACATTTTTCAAAGATTCAAAACAGGAAGAAGGGCCAGCAGGATGGCTCCCCAGTTAATGGTGCTTACTACAAGGCTGACAGTCTGAGTTCACCCCAGGGGTCCACATGACAGAAGGAAAGAACCCAATTCTGCAAGTTGTTCTCTGACCTCCACTTTTTTTTCAGCAGGTGCATGTGTTATACATACACGCACACATACACACAGACACTAAAAACAGAAACCTTTCAAACATAGCAGGAAACAACAGTTTGAAATTTGTTTTAGTTTTGTAACCTATAGTCCTCAGACTGCTTCAATCCCCAGCTATTTTACAGTTATTCAGTAAGTTTTCTATACGCAGTTGAAAAGAATGATAACATGAACAAGGCCTCAGGGAAGCTTACAGAGAAATTTTGGTAAAGGAGCTGATAGATTTATAGGCGATAGATAAGGGTGAGCACATATAGGGTGATGTGGTGGGTTCCTAGATTTTTATATAAGATTGACAGCATTTCTCCCCAAAAGAGAGAATATTAGCTGAGGAAATATTTCCATAATACTGACCTGTAGGCAAGTCCGTGAGGTATTAATGATTAAGGATTGATGTGGGAGGGCCTAGCTCACTGTGGGCTGGTGAGCAAGCAAGTTGAACAAGCCATGAAGAGCAAGCCACTAAGTAGCATTCTTTCATGCCCTCTGCTGCAGTTCCTACTTCCAGGATCCTGACCTGACTGCCTGTCCTGGCTGTCCCACAGTCATGGAGTGTGACCTGAGAGGTGGAAGAAGAAATAAATCCTTTTCTCCCCAAGTTGCTTTTCATCATGATGTTTTATTATACCAATAGAATCCAGAACTAAGACACTTACTTTCCTGGTCCATTGGTCTCTTAAACTAGGTGATTAGAAGCATAATATAGGCACTGTCTATCTTGCCTTCAAGAGACAAGCAGAGCCATAAAGATGACTCAAAGAGTAAAGGCACTTGCTGCCAAGCCTGAAGACCTGAGTTTAATGTTCTGTGCCTACATTTGACAGGAGGAGAGAACTGACTCCTAAAACTTATTCTCTTCCCTTCACACGTGTGCATGCGCACACACACGGGCATGTGTGCACGCACACACACACACACACACACACATATATATATATATATATATATATATATATATATATACATATTTTTTATATATGGAGAGAGAATGGGGACTGGAGAACTGGCTCAGCACTAAAGAGCATTTGCTGCTCTTACGAAAGACCTAGGTTTAATTCCCACACTGGGCAGCTCACAATCACGTGCAACTCCTATTGCAGCTGATCTGACACCTTCTTCTGACCTCTGAGGGTACATCCATGCGTGCATTGTACTACATTACACTCAGGTACCCACACATACATGTAAAATTAATTAATTAACATAATAAACATTAACTTCTCTTTTTTTTTTTTATTTTTTATTTTAATTTATTTATTAAGAATTTCTGCCTCGTCCCCACAACCGCTTCCCATTTCCCTCCCCCTCCCCCGATCAAGTCCCCCCCCCCATCTGCTCGAAGAGCAATCAGGGTTCCCTGACCTGTGGGAAGCCCAAGGACTGCCCACCTCTATCCAGGTCTCCTAAGGTGAGCATTCAAACTGCCTAGGCTCCCACAAAGCCAGTACGTGCAGTAGGATCAAAAACCCACTGCAATTGTTCTTGAGTTCTCAGTATTCCTCATTGTCCGCTATGTTCAGCTAGTCTGGATTTATCCCATGCTTTTTCAGACCTAGGCCAGCTGGCCTTGGTAACTTCTCTTTTAAAAATACATCTGTCTCCAGAATGTATTTCTAACCCACAATTTAAAAATGTTTGGATTCATCTGTTTCTCAATTCTGAGTACTCTAAGTGAAGGCATTGATTCGTAAATAGCAATCACAAACACAAGGTTATTTTCTCTCCAATATAAATCTTGTGATGTTATAACAAATCTTGAAAATGAATTTCTTTTTGTTTTATATTTAAAATTTTATTAGCATAGATGCTTTTCCTGCAAGTGTGTCTGACTATGCACCATGTGTGTGCAGTTCCCATGGAGATCAGAATTGGTGTCAAGTCCCCTGAAACTGGCAATACAGGATGTTATTAGATGTCATGTGGTTGCTGGGAATTGAACCCCGGTTCTCTGCATGAGCAGCCAGCTTCTGTTCTACATATCTATATTAAATTCATTTCTCTTGAGTTGGTCAGAATTTTTCTGAATAGTTTTTGAGTATCTGTGATTTCGGGGTCCTTGTTGTTCTATAAGAAAAGCATGATCATTTCCTTGTATATTCTGAGGCACAATACTTACAGAAATCTGTGTCAATATTTCCTGATTAAGCCCATTCTCTGAAGTCATAATTGCTCTGAGTGACTTGCTTAGCCATCTCTTGCAGGGAACTACATGAACTATAGAATGTATTCAGGGGCTCGTGAGGTCTTAAAATCTGATAATGTATACCAAGG